ATACACCAAGCTAAAGTATATAAAAGTGCTATAAAATATAGCAGGATGACAATTAAAATGATTTTTAAACATGATTTTATATAGAGGTGTGAAAAAGTGTGCCAGAACTCCCCTTTTCGCCCTACTGTATGAGATTGCTTTTTATAGTGTGATTAAAAAGATTTATATAAGATTGCTTTATGGGTTGTGATTAAAAATATTGCAGTAAATAAGATTTGTAATAAGATTGTCTTTTATGGATTGATTAAAAGAACTTTCTTGCAGATTAATTAAAAACTTTTTATGGGTTGATTAAAAATGTCACCATTTATGGGTAGATTTAAAGAACTTTCTTGCAAATAAGATTTTTATAATGTAACCTTTTATAGGCTGATTAAAAGAACTTTCTTTGTGAACTTTTTATGAATTGTTTTTCTAATATAAATAATTTTAGATTATAATTATTTTAATATTTAATAAAAAAAAAACAAAACAGAAAACAAAAAAACAAAACAAAAAAATAGTGAGTTATCCTAATATTAATCTTTCTATTTCGGGTGTTCCAAAAAGTTACAATGGAATCTATTATCATATTACTCCATCATCTATGGATAATAGTTCAGAATTAAATGGCTTCGGAGTTATTATGAATCCAAGTTTTTACCAGTTATTTTTTAAGACTATTAGAATGGTTAAATAATAACAATGCAAATAATAAAAAAACAACCGAATTAAACCAAAAAAATAAAGATTTGGAAAATCAAATCGCCGAATTGAATCAAAAAAATAAAGATTTGAAAAATCAAAATGCCGAATTGAATCAAAAAAATAAAGATTTGGAAAATCAAAACACCAAATTAAATCAAAAAAATAAAGATTTGGAAAATCAAAACGCAAAATTAGAACAAAAAAACAACACATTACAAAACCAAATCAAAGATCAAGAGAACATTTTTCAAGTAATATATAATTTATAAATAATAACAATAAAGATAAATTAATTAATCATTTTTTTCATCAGGAACTGAAAAGGGTCGAACAACAAGTGGAACAATGCTTAACCGCGTTGCGTACTGAAGTTAATAAAGACGCTACTTTGGATCAAAAAATGAATAAACTTGTCGAACTATATAAAGAATTTGGAAAAGAACTACCAAACTTTAGAAGCAAAGGAGTATGTTTTTTTTTTTCTGTTTTTTTTTAATATAGAAGAATAAATTATTTAAATAAAAATTTATCCACTTAAACTAATAAATTGTATAATTTTACAACA